CTTTGAGTAATGAAGGTTACCTCTTTTCAAAAAAAAAAAATAATAAAGAAAGAAAGAAAGAAAGAAAAAAAGTTTAAATCTGACAAGAGAAAGGGGTCACCTTGTCTAAGGCCTTTCTTAGCAAATCAGCCCATTCACTAGGATTGAAAAACAACAAAAGTACAAACTTTCTCTAATCCATATCTTCAAACCTTGAGCCTAAGTCATGTCAAAGGACTATTAATTGTATGCATGAAAAAGAAATAAATGGCTAAGTTCTATACTAGCATAATCAATGGAAAATTCAAAAACACTTTTAGAGTTATAAAAAACACCAACAAATATATCACAATTACCAAAAATATCTTGGAATATTTTGAAAACCCAAGAGAGAACCACAATGACAAGAAAGTATTACTTAACAACTCCAAACTCTAGATCAAGCTTTGTTCTTCTACCCTTTTCATGTAGTACAAAAGATCTTGAACCCCAAACATTGATTCACTCCAAAGAACTCAAAATTATAAGCTATTGAACAAGATATGAGAAGGACATGAATTGGGATAGAACCAACCTTTCAAATCTTTAAGTGTTCAAGTTCTTTTGATGCCAAGTTAGTTAAATTAACAGAGTTCTCCTCTAGGAACTCAAATACCTAGAAACCATGAGGCAAATATAAAGAACCATAACCCAAACATAAATATCTAGAAGAAAAATTGACATCATGAAACACTAATTGCAAACTAGAAATTATAATGATAAAATTGAAAGAAGTATCATTCTAAATAATTGCACCAAACAACATGGTTGGTTTGAGTTTCTATAAATAGAAAGAATTGGACAAGCCTTGGAACACATCTTTGTCATTCTAGGCTTTACAACATAATCAACATAGTTCAAATAGCAAAGCAACCGAGCAAGCTTATGTCGTAAATGAACCTGAATTAAATGAAACCACCACCTTTAATCCTCATTTACATTATCTAGGTTTTAAAAAGAACAAGAGGAAATGACTTATATAATCTCTGATGTTATACTTATAATGCCCTCTTCTTGGGCAGATAAGAATAAAAGACAAGATTCATTAGGAGCAATTATGCATTTTACAAAGATTCTTATTAAAGGAGATAGAGATAGAAATAGATAGATAAATAGAGAGAGGGGGGGATTTAATCGAAACGGTTACTAGAGAGATAGTTGACAAGTCATAAACTTGATAATAGAAATCTATGCTTGCACCCATGATGAGTCCAGAAAAAAATAGAAGAAATAAAAAATGGTTCAAATTTAAAATATATCCATTAATATAAAATTACAAAAAAAGACTCTTTACAATGATGATTCTTAATATCCATACATTGAACTAGTTCACTATACATAAAATTAATATTTATGGCCTAAGGCAAACAAAAAAGTCAATGAAAGTCCATGACAATGCTTCAATCATTAATTTCAACTCCTTAAATTTCACCTACATGCAAATTAATAGGTTTTGGTTAGAATGGCATAGTATGTGTATGATATAACATAAAATAAATATCACATTTGAATTCAAATGAAATCCTCTCTATTCCAAAGTATTTCCAACTCATAGCTTTCCATTCTAAAAATTCTAGTTTTTTTTAAACTAATCTAGCAAGGCATCATTAATTAGGCAAGTGTTCATAAATAAGTTTACAGTACAAATGCACATAACTATAAACATATTCAAGAGTCCAATTAGACTCTAAGAGATTAACACCTTTACATAAACTAACAAGATTCCCTAAAACAATTTCTCCATGTTTACATCATCAATCTACATGTTTGTTTTCTTTTTGTAAGTGCTTTCCTACATCCCATTGTTTGTATAGAAAAGGGAAGACCATTTTGGGCATGATTTCAATAGCTTTAATCTCGACTATGTGGTCAGAAAGAAACAATAGGGTTTGTGAGAGTAAGGCTTCCCAATCTAATGAGATTGTCTAAAACACGACTGTCAGATTTTATCTTAGGCTAAAGCTGCAAACATATGTATAGATTCTCTCTTTTTTGTAATTAATTTACACTTCATATTGATGTGATCATACAATCTTCATTCATCAGCATATTTTTAGTGGGCTATGGCAGGGTGGGTGGGAATAGACTTTAGTGGGGGTACCATGGCCCAGTGCTCTTTTGTAAGATTACTATTGATGGGTTTGTCGAAGCCCTCAAAATTAATACTAGYCCCACAATAAAATATTTGCAGTAAAAGTGGTTCTAGGTCGAATCCCACAGGGAGCAAATCAATAATCTCTTAGCCGAATGGGTAATRWRATTGAGTGAGAGAATTTAAATACTGAAATTAAAAGAAAAGAAAATAA